TGATGTCATTAATCTATGTCAATTAATGAGCACTGTTTTACTAGTGCAACACGATATCACTTATTTAGCCAATATTGTGAATTTGTTCTGTTTGTGCTAGAAGAATATTTGTACTTAGTATTGACCTCGTGTAAACTATTATGTAACGGAGGCACCCCGTTACACCTTTTTTATAGTTACACTGACTGCTGTGAAGGTTTTCGCGTGTAAGCTTAAGAGGAAGAGATACTAGTCTCTGATTTGAGTTCGAGAAGTTATGTTGTACTCTTTGCTATAGTCGCTCTTAGGATTTGTTCGAACATCCTGGGCACCTGGTCGGAAGACAGTAGACTGTACCATAAAACCAGCTCACCTCGTCTGCTTGAAAGCTCTCCGCAGGGATTCCAGTAAGGTTTATACACGACCGATCGTTGTAGGCGCAGAATGATGCGACATGTGTATAACGCGACGGTAATCGGCAGCACGGCATGTTTGGACGAATGCGTTTGCCACTGGTTATGATCAGACCTCCCACAATCGATCGCTTCCATCAATCTCCCTGACTTCGAGTTCAGTAAACCGCTATTTCACCAACTCAAAAGTATCGTTACCTCGTTCATTATCCAATTTTGCACAAGTAACACGGCCAATCATGGTTGCTATTGATCATAAAGGCGTTGACAGTGCTTGTATCGGGTACGATGATGCCAAGACACTACTCGCTCAAGGATCAGTGGCGCTCCATGAGCACGTAGCTTCTCGATTAACGTCGTCCCTTGGCAAAGCGCTTCCTCAGGTCGAGGTGCGTTTCAAGAACGTGTCCATCTCCGCCGATGTCGCGGTCAAGGACGCTACTGACGAGGAGATGGAGCTACCGACGCTTTCGAACACAGTGACGAAGACTCTGTACAAGTTGGTGACCAAGAAACCGGCGGTGACAAAGCGCATTTTGAATGGTGTTACCGGAGTCTTCAAACCGGGAACCATCACCCTCGTGCTCGGCCAGCCGGAGTCAGGCAAGTCGTCTCTCATGAAGTTGCTGAGCGGTCGATTTTCAAGTGATAGGAACGTCACCATGGAGGGGAAAATCACGTACAACGGAACACGTGCCGAAGAGCTGCAGCGGCTTTTGCCTCAGCTCGTGTCATATGTCCCGCAACGTGACAAACACTACGCGGAATTGACAGTGAAGGAGACACTCGAGTTTGCACATGCTGCATGTGGTGGCGAATTGTCTGAACGTGACGCAAGTCATTTGGTACATGGTACTCCTGCTGAGAATACAGAGGCTTTAAACGCTGCGCGGGCACTGGCCAAGCACCACCCGGACGTCATCATCCATGAACTTGGTCTAGAAGGTTGCCAGCATACGATCTTCGGTGATGTGATGACTCGAGGTGTGTCTGGAGGAGAACGCAAGCGCGTGACGACTGGCGAGATGGCGTTTGGAAACAAGTACGTGATGATGATGGACGAGATCAGCACGGGGCTAGATAGTGCCACGACGTTCGACATCATAACGATGCATCGCAGTCTCGCAAAGACGTTCTGCAAGACGGTGGTGATCTCGCTTTTGCAGCCATCGCCCGAGGTGTTTGCACTTTTCGACAATGTCATGATTCTGAATGCTGGTCACCTCGTGTATCATGGACCATGTGCGAAGGTTCAAGACTACTTCAAGAGCCTCGGGTTTGAGCGTCCTTCGACTCGTGATATCGCAGATTTCTTGCTGGACCTCGGCACGAGTGAACAGTGCCAGTATGAAGTTAAGCTCGAAAAGGAACGCACGTTGATCCGTACTCCAACCGAGTTTGCTCTGGCGTTTGAGCAGTCTTCGATTTATGCGCAGACTCTTCAGGAAGTGGAAGAGCCTGTCCATCCGAGTCTTGTCGAAGACATGAAGACCACCATCGTTGTCAAACCGGAGTTTTCTCAGAAGTTTTGGGCAAGCACAGTGCTGCTCATTTATCGACAGTTCGTTGCCACGAAACGCGATACTTCGGCCCTCTTCGGACGCTTCTTCATGACGGTCGCAATTGCCATGATGTGCTCAACCGTGTACTACCAATTCGACCTGGCAGATGCGCAAGTGGCAATGGGTATCATGTTTGAGTCAGTACTCAATTTGTCGATCGGCCAGGCTGCGCAAGTGCCAACATTTATGGCTGCGAGAGAGGTGTTTTACAAGCAGAGAGGGGCTAACTTCTACCGGACGGCATCGTACGTCGTCTCCAGTGCTGTGAACCAGGGACCTCTTGTTGTCCTTGAGACGGTTCTTTACGGAACAATCATCTACTGGATGTGTGGCTTCGTGAGCAGCTTCTACAATTTCTTGGTGTTCCTTGTGGTGCTGTCCTTGACGAATCTAGCATTCAATGCTTTCTTCTTTTTCTTAGCGTCTGCTTCACCGAATCTCAATGTAGCAAGCCCCTTGTCCAGTGTGGCGACCGTTTACGCCTGTGTGTTTGCGGGCTACACGATCACGAAAGACCAGATTCCGGACTACCTGATCTGGCTTTACTGGGCCAATCCCATTTCGTGGGGAATTCGTGCGCTGGCGGTCAGTCAATACAAGAACGCTCGATTTGACACATGCGTTTACGATGGCATTGACTATTGTGCAACCTATGGTTTGACGATGGGGAGGTTCTCATTGAGCACCTATGAAGTTCCGTCGGACGCGTTCTGGTTGTGGGGCGGAATGGCTTTTATGACCGCTACCTATCCCTCCTTCTTGATCCTGTCGTGTTTCGCACTTGAGTACCATCGCTTTGAACGGTCTGAGATTGCGGTGCTGGACACGAAGACCAAACCAAAGGTTACGGACGACTACGTAGCTACAGACACTCCACGCGGGTCAAGGAATCGGGACAAAATGATGGTTTCGGTGAACCAAGCAAGCGACAATTATTTCATCCCGGTTACAGTGGCTTTCAAAGACCTCTGGTACACCGTTCCGGATCCTACGGATTCCAAGAAAACGATTGATTTGCTTAAAGGCATCAGCGGATATGCGTTGCCTGGTACCATCACCGCACTCATGGGGTCTTCTGGTGCTGGCAAGACTACTCTGATGGACGTGATTGCTGGGCGTAAAACAGGGGGCAAGGTTCGTGGACAGATACTTTTGAATGGACATCCTGCCACGGACTTGACTATTCGTCGATCGACGGGATTCTGTGAGCAGATGGACATCCACTCGGAGTCCTCAACGTTCCGTGAGGCGCTGACCTTCAGTGCATTTCTGCGCCAAAGTGTCGATGTTTCTGACGATCACAAGTACGACTCGGTGACTGAGTGTCTCGATCTTTTGAATCTTAACCCCATTGCAGACAAAATTGTTCGCGGCAGTACTTTGGAACAGATGAAGCGACTAACGATCGGTGTGGAGTTGGCAGCGCAGCCAAGTGTGTTGTTTCTAGACGAACCTACGAGTGGATTAGATGCTCGCTCGGCAAAGCTGATCATGGACGGTGTGCGTAAAGTGGCCGATACTGGAAGGACAATTGTGTGTACGATCCACCAGCCCTCGGCAGAGATATTCAGTCTCTTCGACAGTCTGCTACTACTCAAGCGTGGTGGCGAGACCGTCTTTGCGGGTGAGTTGGGCGAGAATGCTCATGAAATGATTGCATACTTTGAGTCAATTGATGGAGTAGCAAAGTACAAGGAAGAGTCCAATCCGGCTTCATGGATACTTGAAGTGATTGGTGCTGGTGTCGGCAATATCAACGGGACCAAAGCTGACTTCGTGGGGATCTTCAAAGATAGTCCACACTACGAGCGTCTGCAGTCCATGCTCGATTCCGAAGGTGTGTGCCGTCCATCCGCGTCTCTACCTGCACTCCAGTTTGATACCAAACGCGCTGCGTCAAATCTGACGCAGATGAAGTTCTTGCTCCAACGCTTCAGCAACCTCTATTGGCGGACGCCTTCGTTCAATTTGACACGCTTTGTCATATCACTGGGACTGGGTCTGGGCTTTGGCATCACATACGCTGGGAGTGAGTACACGTCGTACTCTGGTGTAAACTCTGGACTCGGCATGGTGTACATAATAGTCATATTCATTGGATACATCTCATTCAACGGCTTGATCCCAATTGCAGCAGAAGAGCGTGCTGCCTATTACCGCGAAAGAGCGTCGCAAACGTACAATGCGTTTTGGTACTTTCTTGGCCTCGCAGTCGTTGAGATCCCGTATGCAGTTGTCGCAGTGCTACTGTTCTTGATCCCCTTTTTTTCCCATGGTAGGCTTCTCTGGACTCGGCACTTTTTGTATCTCTTGGCTCGTCTTGGTGCTGCAAGTGCTGCATCAAGCTTATATGGCGATCTTACTCGTTTTCTTGCTGCCGAACTTGGAAATGGCGGAGATCTTTGGCGTGATCTGGAACATGGTGGGCTACTTGTTGTCCGGCTTTAGCCCCCCAGCCTCAAGTTTGCCGTCAGGGATTGTATGGGTATACCGTATCACACCGATGACTTACAGCGTTGCCGCCTTCTCGGGCGTCGTGTTTGGTGCCTGCAGCAGCGATGGCGACTTAGGGTGCGTGCAAATGACGAATGTTCCCCCGTCACTGGCTGCGGACATCACTGTGAAAGCGTACATGGAAATCAACTTTTGGATGGAAAACAGTGAAGTCGGCCGCAATTGCGGCGTGCTGGCAGTTTTCGTGCTTCTCTCCGGACTTTTCTCGCTGCTAGCGATACGCTTCTGCAATTACCAGAAGAAGTAAGACCATCGGTGAAGCAGGTTTGTGAAAACCTAGACGCGATGGCTCCTCCCCTACGTTCCAGGCCTTCAAAGCTCTTTCATTTTTTCGATTGTCAAGAGACTGCGTATGCAATTCAGACGCTTGATGTGTCTGGAACGTGTATTAAATCTCAGTCTCGTAGTAGGTCTAAAAATGGTTAGGTCGATTGTTTAATCTATGACGGACACTTACCCAGTACAACGCATGCTCTACTCACTGTCTATCGATCCGCGATGAAAACCCGCTGTGATTCACCAGTCACTGCAGCTAGCAGCTCGGAATCGTCACGTGCGGAGTCATGTCGGTGCCAAAGAGCCCAAAGTGCTTCTCGTACTGCGCTCCCGTGTAGCTCACCGTCGTGTCGTACATCATGAACCAGTACGACTGGCCCTTGTCGCGAGACCACGCTACGTAGTCGTTCAGGTACTGTTGCATGCTCTCACGCGACGGTTGGTTGCCGGCGTAGCACTCGCCCGCGTACGGCCAGCCTGTCTCGGTCAGGTGCACTTTGGCTGGACCGAACTTGGACGTCATCTGGTCCCATTGGGCCTGCAGCTTTAGTATTGAAGCCTGCGGACCGGGCGTGAAGAACGGGTAGATGGTGACCCCAATGTAGTCCACTGCGTTCGCGAGTTTCCACGCATCTTCGGCGCTCAGCCACTCGTTGATGCGCTGCACTGATCCAATGGGCGTATCCCAGTGCACGCATCCCCTGACCCGGTTGATAAACCCCACGAGCTCATCAGCCGAGTACTGGCCAAAGCCGTTGTTGCGGAGGTTCTCGTTGCCAACGTAAACGGCCTCAACGGCCCAGGGGTTCCGAGCAAAGCCGTCGCACACTGCCTGAATCTCGCAATCAATCTGACTGGGATTGTTCAGCTGCACACCAACCGCGATACGGAGGCCGGCCCGCAGCCGCCATATCGATAGCATTCACACCACTCAGTCGCGCCTCGTACGTGCGGATGCTCGAGAAATACTGAGCAACCTGTCTCATGTCCTTCTGCAGCACATCCCAGTTGACGAGAGGATTGTGCCATGGCGCGTAGCAGACGCCCGTTCCGAGTGGTGCGGCCTCTACGGAAGTGACAGCCACGGCAGTGGCGAGGACGAAAGTGGTTGCGAGTTCCTTTTTCATCGCTACTGCTTTCGTAGCTACTGAAAACCGTTGGGGTTGTTCGTTTGTAGAGAGGGTCTTATGCTTACCAAGGCAGATTGAGCAATGGAAGCGGTGACGTCAAGACCGACTCGGAAGAGAAGGCACGAGGGTTCTACGGATTGACGTGACGTGCGGCGCAGAAGTCCGACTTGGATGTCACGTGTTTGGTGTCCAGTCGTGTCGCTGAGGATCCAGGGGCGCACTCTTGAGATTTGCTCACGACTTTCGTGTGGGAATTACTACCGCCGATGGGATGTACTACGGGACCAAATGCTGAAGCTCGATCGTTCGGTTGAAACTTTCGTTGCGGAGACTCTCGTTCGGTGTATTTGACTCGTAAAGACCGTGTCCACATATGCTCGCTCACCAGATGCATTCTTATTCCATGTGGGCGTTATCTCAATACATCAAATCATGCGAGTATCGTTTATCAATGTGACTTTAATAATGGTGAACGTAATCAGGGTGAGCGACCTTGTACATTTTGACTATGCCGATCGCTGCTTCGTAGCTGCTTTGTGGAACAGCCAGCCGAAGCACGCGATTTTCGAGTCAAGAGAGTAGGCTCTACGCTCGGCTACGTGCATCAAAATCAATCGATTGTAGAATTGCGGTCGCTTGATTAATTGCTCGCCTCTCTCTTGTGCTCCTTCCGAGACGAAGACTGCATTCCAAGGAGGGCTGACGCAAGCCGAATGCGCAGGAGCTAGCTTATGCCGAATGCGCAGGAGCTAGCTTATGGCCATGTTGTGACCAGGACCTCCGTCCCACTGCTGCCTATCCCGCGCATCCCTCATAGCTGATCCCCCATCCCACACACGTGAAATGGGATGAGGGATAAGCCGTGACCATCCCGCGCGTCCCGCATGCAATTATGTCTTACAATTCTAACGTGGAAGTCCTATAAATTTTCTATTCACATAATTCGTACTTGGATTTGAAACGCACTAAATGAATGAGCCATCTTTCATATGTGTTTGCATACTCAGGTTCAGTGTTCATTGCTAAGACGCTACTCGAGCTTTCTGCAAAGACATGTTACACGGCACTGTAGATGCGTGTGAGGATTATTTAGCATCCCGCCACGACTACTCGACGTACATCCTAAACTTAGTCGCAGCTCGCGACCTTAATTCTTGTTATGGTGAGTACCTTTTGGCAGTAAGTTTATGTGTAAGTTTGCGCACTCAACTGATTGCAGTTCTGGCTGGACCTATTGTCGATTGCTATATAGCTTCGTCAATACATTACTTTTCCACCACGGATCACGATCGCTTTCGAGCAATCGCATAGCTTGAAGGTACCGCCAATACAATGATGAGTCGCTACCCGCTGATCTCCAGCTACAATCCTGTTGGTGCGGACGTTAAATCGTTGTAAGATTTCTGCCACTCGCCTAAGAAGAGCCCAGCTTGGAAGGATTGCCCTCCACAGCACCGATCATAATCTTGTGGAGCACGCCATATGCCCTCTATCCCGTTCAGGTCGGTAACACTTACACACACTGCGGTTTGTATTGACTTTATCGCTTTGATTCTCATTCTTCAGGTTCCAGCGCGTATGGAGGCGCTCGAGTGTGTGCAGATCCATACTAATCACATTTCTGTAAGGTATAGCTCGGTGGTCTCGTTCCGCAGTGTCCCGTGGGAAATTCTCATCCCACGCGGGATGGGCGCGAGATAAGCCAATTTCGACTCATTTCGCGCAGGACGGAGCCCTTGTCGCGACGACACAATAGACTCGCGTCGGGAATGTAATGATTGTGGTCAAATCGACAAAGAATCTGCTCATACGTAGTCGTACTTTCCATTCGCATGGGTTGTCTGCCCTGCGGCGAGTAAAGGTCTCCGACTCTGATGAGGTCGCGACTAGTGTCGACCATTCTGAATCGAGTATGAATGCGCTGCCACTGTTGCCTATCACAGTGTCTGATTACACATGATAACGAAAATAAACCGATACGTCGTGAAAACGACGATTGCGGTCGTGATTAAAGACTAACGCGACATCTGTTGTGTTTTGGAGCGTAGCCACAGACATCCAGCGCTACAATAACCTTTTTGATGTAAGGACATGCATGCACAATGTATTACCAAGCGTAGACGAATGTTTGAACCAAATTTCGAAACATGCGACCAGGTAATCGCCTGTAATCGTGTGCGAAAACAAAGCACCACAGATAATATTACTGAGCATGAGAGAGACTTTCAGATTGCCTACTTAGGCTACTTATTACTGCACAAAATATTTGAATAGTGGAAACCACATCGGTCATCTACCATGTGGTGATTGCTTCCCTTAACCCTTTCTCATTATGCTGGCATGATACCCCGGATGTCATAGGGGGCACTCCGAGAGAACACATGGTTTCGACCGTCGACCGGGTTCGAGTAGGAGTTACGCGCACACGTGACCGGATGGCTGGGCTGCTCGTGCTTGCGGAGCAATCTTTTGTCATGGGAAAGTGGATGTAACAAGGTAAAACATGTCCGTTTGTACAACCGGCAACGATGCCGATTACAAAAGGATTGTTATACCCCTTTACGGGCAATCTATAAAAATTGCAATACGTTAACGCATATCATCGTAAAAAATTAAAATAGTTTCCTTGCATCCCTCTTCTGTAGACATCCGACTTAACAACTTCTATAGAGAAAATGGTTAAAAGCACGCCTTAATTAGTTAAATGCACGCGATGTTCAATGCAAGCCTTTTTTGGTCGGCGTAACCGACCGTAAACTAGGGGATTTTGAAAATTACGGACGCCTTAATCAATGAACGCCTATAACTAGTTCGTGTGAATAACCGCAGCTCAGATTTACATTTAGTAGAGTAACACATTATAAAGGTAGCGGAGCGCTAGGTAGCCTTAATTTTAACAAGCGCATGCTCATCTCATAAGAACAGACTAATAACACCTACAAGTATATTCGCACCTCCACGCAAATCTCCTTCAACCTCCTGTTCACCGTCAGCACTTCCCGCACATTTTTACTCTTCAGTTTGAAGCGCGGAGATGAGCACCATAGGAACTGCGTACTTGTGCAAGTGGTCCTTCCAACTCGTTCTGGATGCATTGCATCTCAAAATTGCCGCCTGTGACTGAAGGGCCGCTCTTGCTGGAAACCGCCACCAACGCACTCATTTTTCTTTTGATCGCACAATGTGCAATTGTCAGGTCTAGATGAATCAATTTAGTATCGCTCATATCTTACACAGAATATATCACACGCTGAAAAATTCTCAGTCTGTTTCGTCGTGATCACGCTTTACTTTATTGCAAAGTACCTGCCATATTCACGTAATCGTTGGGGGACCCGCGAAATATTCACAGTACTGCTCCCGAATCGCGTGTTCCTCCAGGCCTGAAAATGGATGACATCGCACGTTACCAAGTAGTGCACCAAAGCTAATTCAACACATACCACGTACACAGGAACATAAGAATGCGGACGGTGCGCACAATCTTGTTTAAAAAGTTGACTCGCGAAAGATCAACATTCGCCAGATTAATCGTTTGCTGCTGAGCACGAGTACAAAAATACTTTACCAGCGAGTTGCTAGTTGCCTTGCATTCACCTATCAGCTCTTGCAACGTACATCTTCCTGTTAATTTGACGACAAGACTATAGCCTGATACGCAACCGTGGACGACCGAAAACGTTTCCACATAAGGTCGTGATTTTGACGACAATTATTGATTGACTTTAAAGGGTGTCCGTTAAGTAAATTTGTGGGTGTGCACCTTACAATTCCCTCTTTAAATAGTAATGAAAATCTATTCACATCCACAATCATTGATCGCGTAAAAGGGTAGCCCGTTACATAATATTGACACCAAACGGTGTCAATGGAAAGATTGTCAAGCGTGACAATCTCTTGCCGAAACTACCCGAGATAGGTAACATTGAAGGAATATCATCGCTTAGGATATTATCCATGTGCCGCTCAAACATTATTGATAGAAGACATATCATCCAAGATCACCACCCTTCGCTGCTAGACGCGGGTAGTGGGTGGCGAGCAGGTTGTCGTCAAACGAAAATGTAGGTTGATAGAGTTAGATACATACAGAAGTTATATCGATAGCTAGACTATACATTGAATACAGTTCATTTTTTACCTTAACTCGAACGAGCTGTTTGAGTAAAGTAGCTTCCTCTGCACGTACAAGTGTACGTGAAGTTTCGGCGCACCTAAACAAAGGGTGCCCCGTTACCCCTGCTAGCACTTCGCAGTCCGTCCAAATACTACTTAGTGTCCGTTCAACAAGAACATGTTGGACGTTGAAGACGAAAGATTTCACGTCACACGTGAAGGCTATTCCCATCAAGTGACTCAGAATGGGATGTAGTCGGCCGCGTGAGTGTGCTCATGGGCAAACCCTCCATCATTGGCATGTTGAAGTTTACAAACAGAGACAAACAACATGCCGCTATCAGCAATTTCGACTTGCCGTCGAAAGACAGAAGATAGCCATGCTACAGCAGCAAGGTATTCATCAGTCGATGGGTGGGCAGACGCATAAGCGTCGACCCGAAAGTTGAAGATAGATATCTTAAGGTACAAGAGAACCGATGCAGGTTTTCTCATGAGATGATTCGTCGAGTTAGACGTCGCCATTAGGGCCCGTCAAATCGAGGGTGACGAGATGCAAGTCACCTTTGCCCCGTCAAATTTGACGGGACGAGCAAAGACTTGGGCCTTCGGGATCAAGCTTCACGACCCAAACGTGTTTGAGTCGTTAGAGATCGTGAAGTCACGTTTCATCCGCAACAGCCGAGTTCAGAGAACGCTATGCACTCTTGAGGCTAAAGCAAGGTAAGCGTGATGTGCACGCTTACTCACAACACCTGCGCTACCTTGAGAGTCGCGTCACGGAAAACCCTGTTGATGAGCACGCGCTCACCAACGTGTTCATCTACGGCCTTGTAGATGTACCGGTCAAGACATGCATGTTCCAAGAAAACTTCCATAAG